CCCCCCCCACTATTTTTTGGAGTCTGTTTCTACCCGGAACAGGCACTTTTCTGATGTATATCTGTCGTTGGGAAAACTTCCCAACCAGGAAAATATCATCAATGATTGAGCATGGCGTTGGCGGGAAATTGCTACTTCCAGGAACCCTATTCTAATCTCGTCTTTTTCCCTTTTGCTTTTCCTTTTTAGCCTTGAGCACGGCTTTGTTCGAGTTAGTGGTGATGACCGGAAGAAACTTATTATTATGACGAAAAGGCCTGGGGAAGAACGAACAGACATACACCTATACTTCCTGAATGACGCGGTAATATACATACAGAAGATCAATACAAACACATCTACGCGTGTAACCAACAAGGCCAAGCCCGTGACAGCCCGTTCGCAAGATAAGCGTCTAGGTAGCTGCTGTCTTGGGACGGCACCAAGGCGAGCTAAGAAAGTCCCTTATCGGGCGCTGCGGAGAGAAAAGGTCCCACCGTGGGGAAAGCTCCAACAGGTTACGTAGCATGTAAGACACATACACATACATATACATACCGAGGAGGACTGATCGATGTTCGCATTCCAACTTGAATCATCGGTTCTGTAATTTTGATAGCTGTGCCGGCTGAGCGGAGAGCCGATCCCCTTTCGTAGACATCCCACTTCAAGCCAGTCAGATCCATCCCCTCACTCACTCCCCCTCCTCTCCTCCTCCTCCTCCTCCTCCCCGCAACCACCAAACATGGCTCCCGAGCAGGTCCTCTCGGGCACCGACGCCGCCAAGATCGCCGAGGTCTGCCAGAAGCACGGCATCACGACCGCCGAGTTCGCCCAGCTCCAGGCCCGCTCGGCTTCGGCCAAGGCGACGGCGTACTGCCCCTACAGCCGCTTCCGCGTAGGCGCGACGCTGCTCGTCTCTGGCGGCGCGTACGTCGACGGCGCCAACGTCGAGAACGCGAGCTACCCCGTCGGGACGTGCGCCGAGCGCGTGGCCTTTGGGACGGCCGTCGTCCAGGGCCACAGGGAGTTCAGGGCCGTGGCCGTGTCGACGGACATTAGCCCGCCGGCGAGCCCGTGCGGCATGTGCCGGCAGTTGTGAGTTGGATGGACTTATTTCATTCTACAGGTTTTTGTATGCTAATATGGGGGCAGTATTCGGGAGTTTGTCAACCTGTCCATTCCGGTGTTCATGTTTGACAAGAACCAGGACTTTGTGGTGATGACGATGGGAGAGGTTGGTCTGGCCGTTTTCTTTTGCATCCACCCCCTTATTTACGATGTTCTACTGGGATTGTCTCTGCTCGGTATTAGTCTTACTAACACATGTCTTCCGCACAGCTGTTGCCCATGTCCTTTGGGCCGGATCGGCTGCCTCCTCCTGGCGCTCCGGGAGCGATGGGTTGAGCCGGGCATTTCATCTAACCAATTCTCATCTCTAGAGAAGCAAAGAAGAAGAGGGAAGTCTATTTTTCAAGGGTTATGCCCGTTGGTGTGTGACATGTTGGGGTATTTTGTTGGATACAGAGGAGTTTTAGGTGGGTTGGAGTCGTGGTGAATACAAGGGCAATATCGCAAGATGGTGCTGATAGTTTGGGAAATCCAGAGAGAGATGATTATCTACGAAGAATACTAAGTCATATCTTTCAATATGCCATGATCCCATTCGAAATGTTACGACATTTTGGTAAAGGCTGCATAGTAAATGATGCATCTCAAATGTATTATTTCAAGCTATTTTAACAAATAAAAGGAAAAGAAATTATTATGATACCAAGTCCTGTGTACTCTTCGTTTGTACTCGATTATCCCCATCCCACCCCACTACAACCTCTCATTATTATATTAGTCGAAGGCCGTTTCTGGATATGATATGCCATGTGGCTATTGTCCTTCGCTCAAAAGCCATATGCTTTCTTGTCGTGTTTGTGTATTAATTATGAGGCAGAAGAAAATTTATGAAGAAGCATGAGCGGCTGGTGCCCCTTTGGTGTGAAAAGGGACTCATGAAGACTGCCACTTCTTGACGGTGGGCGAGCCGCAGGAGAGGTCGAACCACTTGCCCTCGACGTTCTGGTCGAGGTCGTCGACAGACCAGGAGACGGGCATGCCGTAGAGTTCGCAGCGAGGGGCGCCCAGCTTGTTGTGGTAGAATCGGTAGGCCTGGCAGCCCTCAGTCGAGTCCATGACGCTCTATAAGGGGTTGGTTAGCTTTCAGACCGGACGATGAGGACCAGGGTAAAGTGGAAAAGGAGAATGTGTTAGGTGTTCATGCAAAGGGGCAACAATACTTACATCACAGAACTGGTAGCATCCCTCCTGAGAAACAGGAACGCCGGATCTCTCCTCGATGAACTCGGCCAGGAAGTAAACACCAGCTGGCTTACCATTGACACCGCAGTAGGTAGAACTCTTCTCAGGAGCACCCGGCGTCTGGGCAGCCGCACCGACAGTCTGGACTGGTGCCGGCAGAGCGATAGTGGGTGTCTCGGTGAGCTTGGAGGAGGTGACAGGGGCCATGTCTAGGTCGATGCAGGGTTCGGGGATGTTGATGTCGATATCAATAAGAGGCGCAGGCTTGCGAGTTGGTGTAGGTGCCTCGACATCGACATCATCGGATGATGAAGTAGCAGTAGGGAACTTGGAAGTCTTCGAAGAGGTATATGAAGCACGTTCAGCGGGAGTAGGCGATGGCGGTATAGAGTAAGGGGTCCAGATAAGAGTAGGACGGGAAGAAGATGTCTCGAGGGGCTCCGATGAGGTTTCAACGGGAGAAGATGTAATGGAGGCTCCGAAATCAGGAGAAGGACAAGGTGTCTCAACAGAAGAAGACGAGGAGGAGGTTACCACAGGGGTGGAAGGCGACGCAGAATCGGGTGACGCAGAGGGAGTTTCCGTGGCCTTAGTTTCAATGGGCGAGGAAGGAGTCTCGATATCCGGGGAGGAAGATGGTGTCTCAATGGGCGAGATAGAAGGAGTCTCGACTGGTGTTGTAGAAGCAGACTCAATGGTGGAAGAAGGAGACTTATTGGCGGGAGAAGGAGTCTCAACGGCTGAAGAAGGAGTCTCGATGGCGGATGAAGGAGTCTCAATGGCAGGAGAAGGAGTCTCGATGGCGGATGAAGGAGTTTCGATAGCGGATGAAGGAGTTTCGATAGCTGAAGGAGTTTCGATGGCCGAAGGAGTCTCAGCCGGTGAAGAAGAAGGTATTTCGATAGCGGAAGAAGGCGTCTCAACAGCAGCGGAAGCGGAGGGAGTTCCAGCAGCGGAAGGTGTCTCAACGAGAACAGAGGATGAAGAAGGAGTCTCAACCGCGGCAGGAGTCTCTGTAGCTGACTCCGTAGCAGACGTGTTGGCAAGAGTGGAACTTGTCTGATTCTCCTCTGGCGCCATCGTCGCAACCAGAGACTCCGGCGTAGATACCTGCGCAGACGAGGTCTGAGGAGCAGAAGTGGACATGTTCTGGCTGGCCGTGGCAGCGGAAGCGGAGGGAGCGGAGACGGAGGATGGACCCGAGGCAGAGCCTGAAGTCGGGGGAGATGTCCCTGTCGCTTGACTCAAGCCAGCTCCTTGTCCCGCGGAGGAGGGAGCCGAAGCCGATGTGTCCGAGTTCTGGGCGAGGGAAACGGTGAGAGTCGAAGTGACGGGTGCCGCCTCGAACTTCTGGCCGACGACTGTGTTGGGCTCTCTGCTGGCAGTCAGGGATGCGGTAGGCTCGTCTGTTGGGGTCGCGGTGACATAGACCGTAACGTCGATCGTAGTTGTCGAGACAAAGAGCGTACCGCTGGGGCAGACCAGATCCCCTCCATCCTGAGCTGGCAGCGCAGTTGGTTTCGTCAACTCGGAAACTGACAGCTCTAGCGTGGCAGTCTGTGTCTGTGTCGTGGTCAATGTCACCGTCGAGTTGGAGGTGCCATTCTGTCTGATCGCTCGATGGAAGTTGTGGCGGAGTTGCTCCAGCACCCGGTTCTCAGACTCTAGACTGCTGCTATCCTCGTTGCGAGCGCCACTGTTCTTCCCATACCACTGCAGGCCAATTGGTGTCAGTTGATCTGAGAATCCGAGGAAAAAGAAGAAGAATTGCTATTCCAAGTGAAAGAACTTACACGGAAGAATCTGGAACCACGAGGAGCAGCGTCAGCGGTCGAAGCCGCTATGGCTATGGACGAGATGACTTGTGAGAAGCGCATAATTGATGCGGCGGTATACGGAAAGGCGCTTGAAAACTGAAGAGGAGAGGGGGAGTAAGGCTGTGATGGTTAGATGAGGAGGAGATGCACGATTGAGCCTGGTGTGAATGATGAACCTCCATTTTGTGGCGAGCAAGGACGACTTTTATATCACAATTGATGTTTGAGGGCAATACGGTATCAGAAGGATATTGAGGTTCATGGAGATGAGTATCAGTCCGAAGGGAAGTTTGCCGAAAGGAAATCGGCTAGGGATGGCCCGAGGGACGTCTGAAACATTTTGAAGCCCTGGATACGGGTAGAAGAAGGTAACGGGAAAGGAGAGACATTGTCACGAGGGAGGAGGGATGAGTGCATTTCCCTATCCGAGGAGGCTTCCTACTGTATTCCCCTACAGCTAGGGATAGAGAACAAAATGGGGCAAATCAATATCATCGTATATCCCTTGACAAAAGGATTAATTGCTCTTAGGACCCTTCACGAAACGTTTCCTAGATTGGCAATGGACTGTCAATGTAAGAATATCCTATTTGATTTGTGGTTGAGTCGCCCTTATAATTTGACCTGATTATATGCTGCTGCCTTGCGAAAGAGGGTATCTAAAGAGGGATGATAATGCTAAAAAAAAACGCCGCCTTCGCTTCATCAAACCTGGAAGCGATCGTGAAATATTGTGAACAGTGTATGAAAACATCATACGGCAACGTGAAATCGTGGAGAAGGAAAAGGTGAACCATGCAAAACAAAAAGCAAGCAAGCCAGCTAGCAAACAAGAAAGGGCAGGAGTAAAGCATGATAGAAAACTCGCCAAGCCCGTCGAAGAGAGCAGGCCTATCATCCCATCATACTTTGACTGCTCAATTTTGCTGAGCCAGCTGCAGCGTTACATCACCAATGCGCCGTATAATGTCCTCAGATGACCAACCCGTTCCTGATCCTCTCATGCGATGTGTTTGTGTGGATGTTCTGGGATATCCGGTATCCATCCCACCCCATCAAGCCTTTCCCTTAGTCCTCCCAAATGGTCTCAAGATCCAAATCGCCCCTACGTTCGGCTCCGCAGACACTCCAGCGCTTGCGCTTGTCCCTGGACCCGAAGGTCATCGTGCGCCCTCGTGAAGGCACATCGAGACTACTTCGGCCCTTGGAATCAGATTCGTTGCTATCGGCAGCATCAGCAGCTGCCTTGAGCTGGGCAATTCGCTCGGCCTCCAGGGCAGCTTCCTCGGCGTCAGGCGTATCGGGGATGGTTTCGAGACTCGAAATGCTGGGACTTCGTGATCTCGTAGATGTTGGTGTCGATGGAACTGAAGATAAGCTACCTGAGAATGAATCGTACGCCCTGTATGAGGGCGAAGAAGCCACCGATGACGGCGTAGAGGGCAACTGCGACAGAGAGCCCGAACTCAGGTTACCATAGCTCCGTAGGGGGGAAGATGGCCGCTGGATGCGACCGTTGTTGCCGAGCTGAAATCCAAGACCTGGAGAGCTGCTCCGGTCTCTGTGCCGCCGCTCCGGATCAATGACTGACGATCGTACGGGGGATGGAGGTGGGAAGGATTCGTCAAGAGGCTTTCTAGGGACCCTGATGCGGCTGGGTGAGGCGGGGGACGGGCTTTCGGGGCGGCGTAATTGAGGTATGAGAATATGGCCAGAGCCATTCAGGCCCGGCAGCGACTGGGTTCGAGACATGGGAGGGGCGATGCTGGCGGCAGATCGAGAGCGTGTGTGGCCATGGGAGAGCGGGGATGCGGTTCGTGGACGGTATGGGAGCGAGCTCATCTGTGCCCAGGCCGAGGGCGTTCTAGGTGAGGTCGGGCTCGGTTCGCTGCTCCGGCGTGGATTGCCTGGCTTCTGGTCGACGACGATCTCGAGCCGGCTCGCGATAGGAGTGCCGAGTCTCAAAGACGGTACGGGCGACGACCTGAAGGCCTCCATACGCTCCGTCTCAGGAACCGGTTCCATTTTAAGGTATAGGGAGGGTCATATGGGGGCGGATTCTCGAGGTTGAGGCAGGAATAGGCTGCGTGAACAGACCTATGAGCCCGCTTGTCGGGGTTGTGGAGAAGGCGTGATGCGATTTGATGCCACCTGACCCAGCAGGGACGAGACGCAGGAGGAGGGTACCCTCGACGATGCTGGATGGAGTCGTGGTTTGCTTGGGTGGTAGCGGCGGGCGGCCCCGTGCCGTGGGAGGAGATATTGGCCGCGGGTGGGAACTTGGAGCTGCCTTGGAAGCAACCCTTCGGCTAAGCGTGACGACACCAGAGACCGGGCAGCCCACAGCAATTGGGGTCACAAGGAAAATGGTACGTCAGGGTAGCAGAAGATTGCAGCAGAGGAAAAAAAGAGAGAGCGAGAGCGTGAAGGAGGCGGAGATCAACGTCGGTGTCTGGCGGGTTTCGCAGCTTCTCTTTAGTACTTAGGTCGCGCGTTTTACGGCAGAGTAGAAGGGGCAGGCTGGGCGCGTGTTGGCGTCCGGGCAGTGGCGAGACAAGCAGCACGGCAGGACCTAGCCACGAGCGGTCGAGATCGGAACTTGACGAGGAATGAGAAACAGAAAAAGCAACAATGGGAAAGGTATCCCCCAAAAGCAAATGCACAATGGGACGGGACAGATCGATAGGTGCTAGGGTGGAGCAGGTTGAGCTGAGGGCGAGGTGTGAGGCGACGACGGAATAAAGAAGAAAAGCGTCAAAAAGTTATTTTGAGCAAAAATGTCAGATGCAGGCCCAAGATCATGCACGGAAGGTTCAACAAAGCAAACGCATAATCGTAGACGAGCAACGCAGCCTGGTTGGGTAGGCAGATGCTCACAGAAGCAGGGAGGCGGAGGTCAAAGCTGCAAGTGTATCAGTTGCAGTTCATGGTAATTATCGGTCTGGGGAGGGAGATGGAAAGGGTGCGCGCACGCACACTTACTTACATGCCTGTCCAGTACGCACATACATGCGAGATGCAGCGTCAGCAGCTCCCTGCATTCTGCAGATGGATGTCAACAGATGCAGCATTCCGGCTGCTCACCGACACGACTCGCGGACGAATCTTTAGGTTTGGACGAACCGCTGCAGACGAGGTACCTGCGTGCTGCCTCAGCGCCCTGGCTGCCTGGCCTTGCCTGTAACCGGCAAGAGGCCCAATGACAGGCGACTACCGCTATTACAAACGACACTGGCCGTTGCTCTCCCCAGCGCTCAGCAAGTCATTGGTGGCGCAGATAGTCTGTATGGTGGGGACCCTAGGCCCGGCGTTGTGCCCGCTGACAGGCACCGCTGGGCGCCCTCTTGAGTCAGGTACTCTGAGGAATTGAGCCCATCCGTAGCTCCAGCGCCTCTCGCCGACCCCGTAGCAACACGTGCCCGAAGATCTCATTTACCGGCCAAATGGACCCTTTCTCAGTGTGCTGAATAGCATCCAGCGCGGCCATGACCGAGACTGAACCATCATTTGGTTATTCTCTCGCAACGCATGTGGCAAACCGGCCCCATTCGAGACCGCCAACTACCTGCCAAAGCCCGTATCATCCGAGCCTGGCGGACTGGCCTCTCTGTGGGGAATCTGGGTTCTGCAACGCGCTGTAGACCCCACTGATCAACTGCTGGACCAGACCCTTTCACAGGTCCCCTATCCCCGCCACTGTCCCAGCTCCAAGCTCCTCCTTTGCGGCCCAATCATCCACCATCTTCCCTGGATATAGCGGGCACCTGTTATCTCTTGAACTACGTTGAGCTCTTCCAACCTCGTCTAAAAAGCTGCTGAGCGAGCGACCCGACAGCCTGTTCGCAGAAGACCCTCCGCAAGGCGATTATCCATGACTTGATTATCCCTCAGACGCAGGCCTTCTCCCCACCAGGTCTCGCCACGCCACCATGCACGTTTTCTCCTCCCGCGCCGGTCTTCCGTGCTTGCCGGCAGCTTTGCTGGAGGAAGTTGCCCAGGCTAGGCCGTCTTCCGGTTAGGCCAACCCCCCCAGAGCCACAGCACCTTCTCCCGTCATTCTAGGCACTCAGCTCTGGTTCTGGGCTTCAATATCGGAATCGGCGAAATACCTCACCAAAAGCCACTTAACACATGTCAATCCCCGCGTATATCTGAGTAACCGAGCTCTGAATGTGACTCGCGTAGACCCTCTTGATCCCAATTCCATAGCGATTCTTGCCTGTTCGAGAAGGTTGTAGCACATATGTGCTGCATTCGTACTATAAACACTCAGGTCTTAACCGACCACGCATGCAACGAATGGGGTGAGTCCTTTTGCGCGGGGGAACCAGATTTCCCGCTGCACTCCAGATCCCACGCCTTTCACCGACTGGTTGGCCAAGCCTAAAAGCCATTGTTTTGATTGATGGACAGACGTAAACACACCGGGTGCGCATTGTAGATCTACGGTCGGCTACGTTCATGCACCAATGACTCCACGCTCGACTTATTCCCTCTCATATCCTCCCCCGCTGCAGACGTCAGTGAGGACCCCAGGCCACCTCTTCAAAGTCCCGTCGGTCATGCCCGTAGTCGTAGGCCAAGGATAACATGCATGCTATTGTGAGCGGCGGCGCTTGGCCCCTCGCCTGCCATGTCCCGTCCCCTCACCGCGCTCAGCCCACAACCGCACTCACGCACTAGCTCATGCACAACACATGGCCAGATAAATATCATCCAAAAATGACGGCCGATTGAAACGCATCACGGACCTCTGCGGTTCTCTGACCACCCCTCTCTATCGAAGAAGAGCCACTGCTGACAGGTACCGCATCTCGGGTACCTGACAGATGTCAGCATGCTGCCAAACATCTGATGGTCAGGGTGGTGACCCCCCGCCCCGGGATGTCATCGCCAGATTGGGATCCTATATGTTATGCGGGGACTGCAAATGAGCGTAGTTTCACAATGGCATCCTCCCAGAGGCGGTCTAATAAAAGTAGGGCAATCTTGGTTCCTGGGTTAAATTAATGCAATGAGATGGAAGTTTCGAATATGACAAGTTCATTTGGGGTTCTTTC